CAATGCCACAGGGTCATGAAAATTATTAAAACAAATAGTCGGCCCCAAGTCTGCCTGTATCACTATTACCTCTTAGCTAACAGAAAGCTCTTTCCTGTTTCCCTCCTGCCTGCTATAGCAGATAGCTCCCCTTCTTCTTCAAACACCAATATCATCCAGACACTGCAACGCTGCTGGGCTAGCCCATCCACAGCTTACCTAAAGCGCTGCGCACGTGGGTCCCGTGCAAGAAGCCAGGGAGACCCAAGCAGCGTGAACTGCAGTGCCTGGGCCCCAAACTGGTACTTGAGGCTCTCTTCCCAGGCACAGGCACAATCCTGGCCCAAGCAGCTGAGGGGCCAGGCTCACCCCAACGTATTCCTGTCTGTCTGAGTTGGGGCAACAGAGTGTGAGCTGGCAGCATGGACACTTGACTGTGGGGCCCTTCCTCCACTCCAGTTCTCACTCTCAAGTCTGCATATAATCCTGGAAGACTCCATCATCAAGAGAGAACATTAAACAGGTAAAACATTAAAATGCACTCCCTGACGTCAGGCAGCCATGTCCGTGACCCAGTTTATTCCCATGGCCTCTCTTACTGCTGGTTGTCCGTGCCAGAGTAAGGGCTTCATGCCACCTCTTGGGGTTTCCAATGATGGGCTTCCAAATGACAGGGAAAACCTCCGGCTAGCCCACTGGCGAAGGGTAACTGTCATTAACAATCAAATAGCAGATAGCAACTCACAAAGGCAGGGTGCCCGCTAACACGTCTGCCTGACGCCTTTCCCCTTCGGAGAAAAAGGTGCGACAGGGGAATGCAATTCAACATTGCTTCTCTGTCAAACTGTACATAAGTACTCCAGCATGAAGAAAACACTATTTCTAATATCTTCCAAATATTTGGAAAAACACAGATTAACTCATGCATCTTCCAAGACTGGTTTCATGAATGCAGTCATATTTTAGATGCATGGGGACAAGACAGCTCTCATGCACCAGTAGGTCCAGCTCTGAATCCCACCACGTTGAGTTGTGCCTCTGCCTGCCATCTCCGCACTGGCGGTCGGGAGCCTTTTCAGTTCTGTAGGCAGCTCTAGCAAGGGAACTCCAGCCACTAGTCCTGCAGGCTGATAATCACTACTGAATCACACACACATCTCTATTTTCATTTTTTAGGAAGGCGTCAAGGGCTGAGCAGGAATACCAGGGCCTTCCATCTGGGCAGAGGGAATTCTCTGATTTTGACTCAAGGGGACTACAAAGTAACACAGAACCACAGCAAGGGACTCTGAGCAGCTTGGGTCTCTCGTTGGGCTGACTCCACCCTCTGAATTATTCTACTGTTGAACCTTTTTTATGACGTGCTAAGATCCACTCGGAACTTGCTGCCTTTTTGCTTGTTTGCTCGCTTGCCTGTTTTTGCAATGGGAACCCCAGCCAGATTCAAACCCTGGAGACTTCAGTAGCTGCAGAGAGAGCCGACAGGGGTTGATTCTTCCTCCTCCTCTAATATGGTGGTCACCCTGGGGGAACTGCACATACCATAACTGCTCTTTCCCATACTACTAAGCGGTATAAATCTTTATCAAATTCAAGTAAATCGATGGTAATTTCCAACTGTACATTGCTATGAGATACTTGGAGTTCAGGAATTTCCTGAACTAAGTAATACTTTTTTTTTTTTTAAGGGAAAAAGTAGCCATTCTTGTGTCAGTCATGTGCAGGGCATTCCCTGTGGAAACCTGATTTCCTCAGTATCCCAGGATGTGTGGGGACAAGGACTGCCAGGGCAGTCAACTGAGAAGCACAGACACAAGTGCGTGAAAGTGTCAACCATGAGGGCCCGAGCGTGACAGTGCTGAACCTCAGAGACCAGGAAGACGCGGAAGACTCGCGCTAGCCTGGGATACTATTGTATTTAGTCGCCAAGAGTCTCAGATGTGAGAGGTCTGCAACGCAAAGACTCCGGCCAACCTGACCGCGCTCCTCCTCTTAGGTCTATTTCAGGGAAGGAGTCTTGGAATACTAAACGGTGGTTGACATTTTCGTTGTTTATTCCATCTGACTGAATTAAGTAACTGATGAATAAAGTGCACTTTCCTTTGTCCCCTCTGCAATACTGAAATCTTTTGAGTAAACTCCAGAGGTTTTCAAAACCTCCGGAGTGTCAGCTAGCTCCGCCCAAAGACTGGACAGTAGCACCGAGTGATTATTTTGTAGTCTTTTGTTTCTTGGACGTGTAAGAACCAGGAAGCCAGCCCCATCTGTGCTCATCTCCCTGGCACATCACAGCGACTCGGGCAAGGTCCCTGTCATGGGACTCCTCCTTGTCCACGCGTGCTGCGCTCACTGGGTGGATGTGGAGGAGTATCTTCTAGCCAGCCTTTCGCGGCCCCCAAGGCTGGCGAGCACGTGAAACTGCTAGCTGGGAAACTCGAGCAGTGTGGTTCACTGGACTGGCACACAAGGCTAAGAGTCCGAAAGAGGGGAGCAGAACTTTGGGGAGCCGGGGACTTGAGAAAAGCAAGCCGCCAACAGGGAGACACAAGCTTGTTCTGCACCCCTTGACCATGGGCTGCTTGACAAAATTTGACCAGAGTCAAACCACAAGAATTTTCAGCTTTGTGGACTCAGTATGCTGTAATTACTTTACTATTGTGGCAGCCATTGATGAGAAATACATAAATGGATCTGGGCAAAAATGTGCCACAATACAACTGTATGCATGGCTTCCAACATTTGAATATCAGCCATGAAATATGATTCTTTTGGGTTTTTTTTTCTCTCTCTCTCTGAATCATTCAAAATGTAAATTAGTTCATGAGATTTGGCCCCAGGACAGTGGTCTTGCTAATCCTTGAAGTTTGAAGAAACTGATCCTGTTGAATTGACCTGCAGCCTTTTCCATTTCAGGCACACTTGCAGGTAAGCAGGTTCTCAGAACAGCACAGGTAATGACCACATCAGAATGACTGGCCCTATCTTCTTTGCTTCCTATTGCAAGTTTACAAGGGGGAAAAAAAAAAGGCAAACAAACTTGCCCTGCCTTTGATTTAAGGCTCGGGGACAAAAGCAAACTGAAGATTAAACGAAATCTCCAAATAACCAAAGAATCTTTACATGACTCAGTCCCACCTCTAGGCCACACCCACCGAGAAACACTGAGGCTGCGAGCCCATCTCTCTCTGTAGAGCGAACAATGACAGATACACTCAGGCCAGGAGCCACCGTCCCCGGCCCCACACTCAGATCTGTGCAGGCTGCGATGTGTTCCTGGGAACACCATGACATCCCTGAAGACCAAGTTAATGTATGAACCCAAAAGTTAGGAATTTAATCCTACAAAATAAACAAAAAGAAGGAACTGGTATCGTGTTGTCAAGACTACCGACACCACCACGCTGAGTTCAGAACAACTGCCTTCTGTAGACTCCGGGTGCCCGCCGGCTTTCGGTGCTCAACTGCAGGTCAGCTTGGAGGGACGGTTACACCTACTTTCTTCCTTCCTCGCGTAAACATGTAAAATTTAAAGAAACTTTCAAAGACCCATAAAAAGTTGGAAATTTTATGATGTGCCCCTTGCTTGTATAAATATCTTGCAGTTCTAATACATTTTAATCTGTTGAATGAGAAAAATATCAACTAGCTGGAGAAAATAACTTTTTGAGAAAAATCCTACTAAAAAATGTAACTTGTCATGTGAGATGATCACTAATTAAAAAAAAAAAATCCTTTCTATCCTGAGAAGTCACAACAAAAAGTTTAAGTGTGTTTGGGCTGATTTTTCTCTGCAACTATTTGAAGCTGTAAATGACTTAACTCAGTAAAATTCCAAATGTAATTATCTTCTGTACTTAGCCTAGGGCTCTCCATATATCTCGGCCTAGCTGTCTCGCATACAAAATAGGCTTTTCCAAGGCTGGTAACACTATAATGTACAACATTGTTTTAATTTCCCCTAGTCGGCTAACCTCTTGCCTACACTAAACCAGGCAGAGGAAGAAGCCATAGTGAGTCATCCAGCACTCAAAAGCATTTTGGAACTCGGTTGCATAAATGGGGTTTGCAAGGTCAGGCTTTTGCAACTGTATGTTTGAATAATCTCCATTTCTGACCTAATTTTTTTTTTTTTTTTTTTTTTTACTTTTGGAAGCTAATTTTCTATTAATTATACTAGACCGGAATTATCATTGAAATATGGTGATTCATCAACAAGTTACCCCTCGAAGTAGGATCCACATTAAAAATGTCCCCATCTCTCACAAGTGTGATCCTGCAGAAAAATCTACCCCGGTTCATTTTGCTAATAGAAACACACATTCCACACAACCCAATGCATTTCCGAGTGGCAGATCGTGTATGCACGCGCACACCCGGCGTGAGCAGGTGCGCTGAGAACAGGCGCGTGACTCTCAATCATTCTCAGTGACAGAAAAGGAGTCAAAGAAACACGAGAAATAAACCCTCATACACCTCCCATTGTAACTCGGAAAATGTGCTTTTGTATGTGTTCACTCGCCCTGGCTCACTCGCGCTTTTTGCATTCACGTTCATTCTCTCTCAACCTCTCTCTCTCTCCAGCTTGTCTTCCTAGCTCCAGCTTCACAGTGTTAACAACGCCAGGGACTTACCACCAGCACCAGTTAACCAGAAAGCTGAAAGGAAAAGACAGGAGGGGAGGGGAGAAGGGGGATAGGGAAGAAGGGAGGGAGGGAAAGAGGGAGGAAGAGACAGAGGGAGGGAGGGAGAGAGCGAGAGAGCGAGAGAGCGAGTTCAAAGTGGTAACTGAGAATCGGCTGCACACAGAAGTGCCCAGAGCTTGGGAACCTCTGAGCAGTTCCCACAGTGAACCAAGGCTGCGCTTGCCCAGAGAGTTACAAAATGAAAATGAAATAAAGAACACCATCAGATCTTGGACCTTCCCTTGAATAATGAGCACACAGGAACTCATTACAGAACACTACAAGCAATCTGGAATTGGAGGAATACTGAGGTAATATTAAAAATAAATTTGGCTTTAC